AACAAGTCTATTTTTTTTTCCTGGGCTACTTCCATTAACGTCTGACTTGACATTGTGCTCTTCACAAACTGGAATCTGGAAGGGGGAAAAATGGCTCTTTGGGTTTCCCACTCTCTAAAAAGGTAATTCTAGCTTGGCCTCCGAGAGTTCAGAGTGCAAATTTAAAATTCACTTTGCAGAGATAGTTGGGGTGAAGTGCCATTTGACCAACCATTTCCCAAACCACAGCAGACTACACGAGTCTGCACAGTAGGTCTACATGCTGTTTTGTATCAACTTGGTTGGCCCTAATAAAAGGAATTACAAATCTTGTTTTGGGTTTGTGTGTGGACTTATATACGGCTACTTACAATCTTATTCTGGGCAGGCTGGATACCAGCTCATCAAGACGGCACATGCAGTTTAAAGGAAGGAAGGGCCTTGTTCTCATGGCACCCGCTCAGAACAGAGCAACTCCACTCCGACAAGCCCAAGGGATACTCTACTGTCATTACTGTCTACCACATCATCAAGGAAGCTTCAGAAAAACATGCACATGATCTCAAAAGCACGAGAAAGGTGAACGGGTCCTTTCCGTCACAGATGGCTTCTCCTCTAAAGCTACCAGGGTTTCAACTGGGAAGGAAAGGGAGAGGAGTGAAGAGGTGGACAAAGCAGCATGGTTGAAGAAGAAACGGAGGACAGCCGAAGAGGAAGCAAAGCAGGAATGAACGTAACTGAGCTACGGCCAGCAGCCACACTTGCCCCTCAGACTAAGCCGCTAAAATATACTTTGTATTATGTTTCCCTGATCAGACACTTCTGCTCAGTTACTTCCAACTATTAGGAAACCCCCAAACTTTTTTTTTCGTAGAAGTGCAAATTGAACACAGTCATATTCTAACCAATTTGCACTGGAAACGTTTTGGAAAAAAACCCACTTCGTTGGCCCATCAGCAACACTGGGGAACACGGAGGCACTGTGAGTCCAACTGAGAACCTCCTGCGGTGGAAAGGGGCCAGTGCATGAAGAATGTCAAACACGGAACATGGATTATTTTCAGAACATAAATATTTTTTCATTTGGAGTCTCAGCTCCAGACTTGAGATAGTAAAGCATCTGTTTCCAGTCAGAAGGGCAGAACCCGGGAAACCGTCCCTATATTATGGTCTATTCATCTCATGCACAAAGCATCAAGTCTTCCTTTGTGAAGTTCGTATGGATATATTCTTAAAAATTCATTATTTTTGGTGAGCATTGTGTGTGTGTGTCTGGAAGTCATGGTTTATTTGTTTTATTAAATTGGATTTGCTAGGCTGCCCTTCCCTTCAAGTAGGGCTTCTGGCGACCTCTAGTGCGGGTTGGACATTTCAGAGAGGTGGCTTACTGTTGCCTGCCTTTGTGTCCCAGCCCTGGCATTCCTTGGAGGTCTCCCATCCAAATACTTGCCAGTCAACCCTGCTTGCCTTCCAAGATTGGGCTTGCCTGGGCTATCCAGGTCAGAGCAGTTCATATGAATAATAAACCACCCACCGCAAAGTCAAAGTTCATGCCCCACTCAACACTTCCCTCAGCAACCGTGACTAAGCACACACAAGCCTATTTGCCTCTCGTCTCCTTGTCTGCACCAGTGTCAGGAAAGCACTGCAATGAAGCACCGGCATGTGTCTAATTCACAACTCTGCGTGCCAATGCAACATGGTGTCAGTGCCAACTCCAAAGCAGAGAAATGTTGCATAGGGCACAACATACCCTATTTTGATAAATGTTCCACAACCAGTGTTCCCTCTAAGCTGAGTTAGTGCAAGCTAGCTCACAGTTTTTTAGCCTCCGGCTCACAAATTCTTGTCTTAGCTCAAGAAGGATGGCTCCAGAGCAAACTAATTTATGCAGTAGCCAAATCACTCACTCACAACTTTAATGCCAGTTGCTCACAAAGTAGAATTTTTGCTCACAAGACTCCACCACTTAGAGGGAGCATTGGCCACAACCCCACCTTGAAAGCAGCAAGACAGTTGTGTAGGCTGCTTAAAGATCTGCCCCCCCCCTTTATCTTGTACCACCTGGTCTGATAAACAGTCCAGGTATTCCACTGAGAAGCCAAGACTAGCCACCCATCTCAACACAGAACTGTGCCATGAATTATCCTTCATCTCTCCATACGCCAAGGTCAAAAGGCCTGGGGATGTACAGGAGACGATCTTCAGCCAGTCATTAATGGCTGTTTTATAAACTAGAGTTGTTGTTTAAGGTAGAGATAATTCTACTCTAACCACAGCTGAAGGTGTTGATGGCAGAACAGTGAGCAACCAGTGCACAAGTTTGTTTTGAGAAATTCCTAAAGACTGGAGAATGTGTGCCAAATATAACTCAGTGGTGGTATAAAGTATGGGATTTATTTATGTTGGACAATTTTTCAATTTATCATTCCAATAATCAAAATGAGAGTGACTTTACTAATCCTCTAAATATCTGGTACCCCATTTTAGATAAAATAGACATTGACACCTTTGATTGGGAAACCATTTCTAAAGCCAAATACAAATTATTGGTATTTTGTTAGCCTAGACTTCCTAAGCGAGATTTCTTTTAGTATTGTATACAGACTTTTTATGATATTATTCATTGTATAACGGTGGTCAGAGAGTCGCCATTTTGTATCACAGTTTTTATATTAAAATTTTAAATTAAAAAAAAAGACTGGAGAATGTTTAATTTTTAAATTACTGTATTATGTTCTTCTCTCTTGATTTTAATCTTGGTGGAATCCCCACCTTATTTTGTAGTTTTGCTGGGGCTTCTCTTTGCTAATGCAATAAAGACTGATTGACAGATAAACAGTCCTGGGGAAATTGAAAGCTTTCCCACTGTGAAGTGTCACTGGGTTGGTCTGAATAACGGTGGTGCTTTTAGCTTTTAAGGGGTCACAGTGGCTCAGAGGGTAAGATGCTGAGCTGCAGACCAGACGGTCTGTAGCTCAGCAGTTCGAGACCCTAGTGCTGTGTGACGGAGTGAGCTCCCATCTCTGGCCCCAGCTCCTGCCAACCTAGCAATCTGAAAGCAAGAAACTGCAAGTAACTTTGGTGGGAAGGTAACAGCATTCCGTGCGCCTCGGCATCTAGTCATGCCAGCCACATGACCACGGAGAAGTCTTCGGACAGCGCTGGCTCTTCGGCTTGGAAACGGAGATGAGCACCGCAACCCTAGAGTCGGATTCGACTGGCTTTCGAGCAAGGGAAACATTTACCTTTACCTTTCACTTTTGGAACAACATGGCTGTAAATGACTTGCTTAGGAAAGTACCTATATGCGACTGACTTCCTCCTTCAGTGATGTGGACCGCAAGGGACTCAGTATGGTACCAGCATCTCCCTGCATGCAAGCCAAGGGGCTTGGAGGTATAATGAATCTCTCCTCAAATCTCTCCCGGGTGTCCATGAAAGCTTACCTCAGACTGAAGGCATTGCCTAAAAGAGGAGATATGGCACTCCATTCTGCTCCCCTGAAAGTTTGGTGACGCCCACCAAAAGGTTTCCCTCCTAAGCACTTTAAATGATGCTAGAGTTTTCCCCTTATCATATCAAGATCTACTTAGTGCTTATCTGTGCTAGCTCTAGTTACTCACTGTTACTCCTCGCATCGCCAGTATATCAATCATACAGGAAACAAGAAGAAGAATCTTTCAAAAATGCCTGCACAAGATCTTCGGAGGATTAAAATGTGGGAACTCACTGTCAGAGGATGTAGTGATGGTCACAGGAATAGACAGCTTTAAAAGGGGATTAGATAGATTTGTGGAGGATAAGTCTATCAATGGATGCTAGCCATGGTGACTGAGGGGAACTTCCACATTCAGAGGCACTAAGCCTCTGAATCCCAGAGTCAGAAGGCAACATCAGGGGAAGGCCTCGGCCTCTATGCCCTGTTGTTGGTCCTCCAGAGGAACTGGTTGCCACTGTGTGAGACAGGAAGGATCTTGGACTAGATGGAGCACTGGTCTGATCCAGTATGGCTCTTCGTATGTTCTTACGAAGACCTCAGTCTTTAATGCCCTGTTGTTGGCCGTCCAGAGGAACTGGTTGTCCACTGTGTGAGACAGGGTGCTGGATTAGATGGACCACTGGTCTGATCCAGCAGGGCTCTTCTAATGTTCTTATGATTAAACTGCGAACAAACAATACTCTCATGAGCCAGCCAGAGGTTCAGTATTAACACTAAGCGTGAGATAGTGGTGAAAGCTGGACTAGGACTGACGAAACCTGGATTCAAACTCCAACTGACCAGGAATTTCAGTGACCTAGGCCAGTCACCATAAACCTACCAAGATGGACAATTGCCTGGGCAGAACTGGGGGAAGTACAGCCATAACCTTATGATACAGAGTTGCTCCCACATAAATTTTAACATCTACACAATTATCTTTGGAGAAAAAGTGAACGCAAAGTTGGGTACCCAGATCGACACCAAAGCAAAAAACACACCGAGAACATTTATTCCTAAATTAGTTTAACAGCGGGGCGTGGAATTTGATTCAATCATTCTTCTTGATACCCATGAATACAAGAATTCGAGAGGCTACTGCCTGTACCACTACAGAAGCGAGAAATCTATACGCTGCACGGGAAACAGGATCATTTACCAGCTTTTAATGCATGGCTTTAGTTCTGAGGTTTTGCCAAGCCGTCAAACTTGCAGTAAACAAAGACGGATAGTCAACAATTTGGTCAAAACAGGCATATGCTGCTTTGTAATGAGAAACTGTATTTGGGCTTCCCAAGGTGGACTCTCTCCTGCACTAGGAACACCATCACATACCTGCAAATAGTGTCAAAACGTTCAAATAAAGATCAGGCGCCCTCCCTAGCAGTGGCCGGTCCCACTAAACTGTCACTGATGGGTTTTGCCCGACTGTTTCTTTTAGTGCGAACGACAGGCACAGATCCTCTCCTCCTCTAAGAGCCTCGGGCCCCCATACCTACTTGTCACATCAAAGACAATGACGGCCGCAGCAGAGTCCCGGATGTAGCTGGGAATGAGGCTGCGGAACCGCTCCTGGCCGGCTGTGTCCCACAGCTGCAGCCTGATCTGGGGAAACAAAGTGTGGGGGGGGAGGGGGGAGTGGTGAAGAAGGGGAGGGGAAAAAAGAGCAGGAGGATGGAGAACAAAACGGAAACAAAACAAAAGTGAAACAAAAAAGATGCAAACTCTCGAGGCAAAACAACGCAAGCGTCAAAGGAAAAAGTTACATGAAATAAAAATGCAGTGCAAATTAAAAAAAAAGGGGGGGGAGGGTTTTGCCAAAAGGTACCTTTGTCTCTTCCTCCGATGGCTCCCTTTAACAGGGCCAATCAGTCACTGGTTGTCTTCACATGCATCCTGGCCATCAATCAAACTCCTAAACCAAGTTTTACCTACAGTAGTTATAATCACACACAACAGATCCGGGCAACAAGGAGGCCGGAGGCTCCGCCTGTGATGCTGGGTTTCTTCCTGGTACCCTCGTGCAATGCTCCACTTACTACACGCTCTGCGCCCACTAGGGAAAAGGTTGCGACCAACGCTCCCTCTAAGCTGTGGAGTCTTGTGAGCACACATTCTGTTCTCTGAGCTACTGGCATTAAAGTTGTGAGCGAGCGATTTGGCTGCTGCATAAATCAGTTTGCTCTGGAGCCCTCCCTTCCAGAGCGGAGACAAGAATGTGTGAGCCAGAGGCTAAAAAACTGTGAGCCAGCTCACACTGATTCAGCTTAGAGGGAACACTGGTGGCGACAGCTTTTTACTTATGTCTGTATTCTGGGATCCAACCAGCGAATGGAGAAAATACTGCCGTCCCTGACACGTCAAAACATGGGTGGTGGGAGATGCTGCCAAGTCGCGGTCAACTTAGGGCAACACTGGAGGGTTTCCAAGTCAAGAGATGCTGAGAGGTGGTTTGCCATGGTCTGCCTGTGTGTGGCTGCCCTGAACTTCCTTGGCGACTTCCCGTACAAGTACGAATCAGGGCCAACCCCGCTTAGCATCCAAGATCTGATGAGACTGGACTGTTCAGGTCAGGGCTGTTAAAAAATGTCATGGGTGACCGGGAGTTCACTGCCTGGCTTATCAGGTTTCCAGTTCGAAACAAAGAATTCTACTGGTGTACAAGCTCGCTTCCCTAAATGCTGATGCCTATGGGCTTTCACCATACCATGCTGCTGAGACTGAAAGAGATAATGAAAAGTACAGCAAGCCAGAAGCAGTAGCTGAAACAACCAGGTCGGTGGGCCTAGAACTGCAAGTTTACAGGACTTATACTGAATCAGACCATCGGTTCATGAAGGCCAGTATTGTCTACTCAGACTGGCAGTGGCTCTCCAGGGTCCCAGGTTGAGGTCTTTCACATCATCTACGTCCTGGTCCTTTTAACTGGAAATGCAGGGGATTGAACTTGGGACCTTCTGCATGCCGAGCAGATGCTCTGCCACTGAGCCGCAGCCTCTTTATCAGTTCCCCATCTCCAGTACATCAAATCCTCTGGAGAATGACTTCCCTCCAGCACAGGTAAAGACTCTCTCATCTCCTAAGACTGTATTTGAACTGTATTTCACATGGATTTCACATGGCCATTTCAGAAGCAAATGAAGGTGAAAGGCAGGGTATGGATTCAGTAGATGACAACCTTGTCTTAACTCTGGTAGCCAAAGGCAAAACGCTACTAGAAGAACAGCCAAGGTGCCCCACGACACAGCCATGTTGTGTTCATACTACAAATTAAGGAACACCTCAGCACAGCGGACAGTGTTTGGGTCACACCTAAGCAATCTAGGTTTGCCTCGGATTTATGACAAATCTCTCTCTCCAGCCTAAACTGTCCTTGTAGCTGTTGCAAAAATGAGATAAGGGTTTCCCTCTTTCACATCCTTTTTAAAAATCACAAGACTACCCATTGTGGACAAGGACAATGATGTTTATGAATATAGACCTAATCTATGCAATAGGCTCAACACAGGGAGTTTTCTGTTTTCATGTGACATTTTTGTTCATTTAGATAGGTCACATCTATTTGGCATGTGGAGTCGTTTGCTTGCTGCTTCTCCTCAAAAGATTCACTAAAGCTTTCACGTGGCCTTTCTGGTCTATGGCAATTAGAATATTTGCATTATGTTCTGGGAAAGGGGGCTTTCAGGATCTGTTGGCAACAGAGTTCTAAGTGCAGTACACATCACTGGTTGCACCAATCATGGCAAGAATGCTTGCTGGATTCACGTCACCAGCTGGGAATGTACTGGGCTGTATATCATCTAGACAAGGCCACATGAGCCACGTGACGGGATTTTTCTGCACGCTGTCCATTTATATCACAATACATTGCCATGGGATTAAAGGACAGTGCTGAACACTGAATCAAATGCACACATCATAGCCTTGTGGAGATTACATCCCTGCCAAATTAAACATACGGATACCCCCACTCACCGTGCGGTCTTCTAGATACATTGTCTTCGAGAGAAAATCAATTCCAATAGTGGCCTGGAAAATTAAGAAAGGAACCATTAAGTAACTTTGCACTGTGGTACAATTCTATTTAAGAGGCATCAATCCAAGTATTTTAAGTGCTTTAACGGCCAGCAAATATTAACCGCACGGCCACTTAACAGGGCCAGCAAATATTACCTGCACAGAGAGATTTAAGGAACAGTGTAAAGGAAAACAAACATGCAGTGTCCTCAAGACAAAGGCAGAGAGTAGTACGATAACGTTTGGATGCCTTCAGTTAAAATTTCGTATCATTTGGAGTCCGGAGATGTTAGCAGGATAAAAGCAGATCAAGCCCACTTGCAAGGTGACAAATGTCAGGTGAACTGAACCCAGGATCATGGTGTGGGGGGTAGGATGGGGGAAAGCACTATGCTTTTACCCTACAAATTACCACGTAGGATGGGGGAAAGCACTATGCTTTTATCCTACAAATGGCAGCTTTCAAACAAGACAGGATTCTGAATGACCAGCATGTTCTGTCTGCATTCTTTGAGTGCATCCTTCACTAGAATGCAGGAATCAGTGGATGATGGAAGAGATAAATTATTTCTTGTCAAATAAATTATTTGGAAATGAGACAGGTCTGCCTAGGAGGCACCAGGTGTAAAACTCAAAACTTTAAATTCAAGCTAGTTATAAGCCATCTTTTTTAGCACTCAAAGAATTAAAGAACCAGCACAATTAAAAAATATAAATTCACCCAGATTTAAAATAAATCAACAATACAGAAAATTCACAAAAAGATTGCCCCAGCCAATAAACCAACTCACTCCATAACTAAAATACCATTGATATGTGTTATAGATGGCACTGGACTCCAGATAAGACTGCTAAATGTTATAAAAATGTCTCAGGGAATTGCTGGAGATGTAATAAAAATGTCGGATCATACTATCATATTTGGTGGAGATGCGAGAAGGTTTGCAAGTTTTGGAAAATGATAAAACAGATAATATTGGAGATAACTGAAACAGATTTGAAGTTAGAACCAGAAGTGTATTTACTTAATTTGTTACTGGAGGAGATTAAACATAATGATCAAAGGGTGATATTATATGTCCTCACAGTAGCCAGAATACTTGTAGCTAAATCGTGGAAATCAGATAAAATTCCAAGTAGAGAAGAATTAACAATGAAAATTTTGGAAATAAAAGAAATGGACAAATTAAACATGATACTAGCAGGGAAGGAAGAAAGTGTATTCCAAAAAAGATGGCAAAAATTAGATAGCTGGATGGGGAAAAATGTGTAATGTAAACTCCAAAATATGTAAATGATTATGTTATGTATGCTTTATATAATGGAAAATGATAAATAAACTATATAAAAAATTAAAAATAAAATACCATTGATACACCCACATGGAAGCCTGGAAAAAAAGAGATTTTTTTTTTGTCCCCTTCAAGGTGACATAAGGAAGCCAAACATTCTATAATCTCTTCTGGGATAGGAGTTGGTCTTATTTAATCTATTAATATATAATGTTGCTATCTCTCCTTATTGCCTTGGAGATCAACCCTTAGTTCCAAACGGCAGATGCAACGACTGAAAAAAGCCTGTTGCAAGCCCCCAGTGGCAGTACCGAGTGAAAGGAGGGACCACAAGGACTGTCTCCTTGACACAGAGAGTACTCCCTCTTTCTGTGTTATACCTCTGAGGAATGCAGTCACAGCTGCTGGCGAAAGGTCCTACAATGCCAAGACCACGGCCACACAGACCGGAAAATCTACAACAACTACCGTTTCCTTTCTCCGTATCAAGCGGCACATAAGCTTCTCTCTGCCTTTTACACCAGGAGAAGCTGCCTTTCAGTTAAACGGGTTCTTCGCCACAGAAGGGTTAACCATTAGAACCAGGATCTTGAAATCAACCCGGAAGTGAACTGGTAACTGGCACAGCTGCAACAACACAGCTGCAACCAGATCAGCAAATGAGCAGGTGCCGTTTGCGCCACCGGAACCTACCAAAATTGTCTTTAATGGAAGCTCCACATAAAATATATTACAATAATTAAGACTGGCCTTTGCTGAACTGGCAGAAAGACACAACACACACACACACACACAGAAGCAAGTCAAGTCAGAAAACAGCAGGAAAAACAGAGACTCAACATCCATCTTTGAAGAGAGAATTGCAACCATTCCTGGGGATGGAAACTTACCACATCCACTTCAAACCTCATGTAAGGCACTTTACAAAAAGGACACATTCAGTGTTCATGTGACGTCTTCAAAGAGTAAGAGAGATCTCAGTGGCAGTACTGCTTTCATTAACGCTATCGTTTTAAACAATCATGATAAAAGCCATGGATGTGATCTACGTCTAAGGAAGCTGGCTTACTAATGCTGATTCTCTGAGCAGTACACACTTCTGTAAATGATCTGTGGAGAGCCTGCCTTTGTTATCTACAGGGAAACTTGAACAGTTAATATGATGATTTTCCACCACAGCAACATTTTTGACAACCCTGGTGGATGCAAGCCTAGAAGCCTCTTAGAACCTCTTAGAAAGCAACATATAGTTTGCAGGCTATTAACTAGTGGCTCCAGAAGAGTCCACAGAAGATTCATATTTTAACAAGTCAGTCTGTAAACACACTGAAGGGACACGGAGGTGACCAAAGGACCAACCACCCTTTTGCTTTTCCCTCCAAAGGAACAAATTTTAGGTTTTCTAGGAGGATTCACAACATTCCTACTTACCTGGTAGGTGTTGTCAAAACTGTCGTACATAAACCTGGTGATCAGGGACGTCTTTCCAACTATGGAAAAGAGAGGAGGAAATGTTACTCTTCACCTGGGAAGTGGTAGGTGAGCTAACTAGAAGGGCCACCTATGTCTTACACCAGTGATAGTGAAGCTTTTAGAGACCCGAGTGCCCAAACTGCAACCCAAAACCCACTTATTTATCACAAAGTGCCAACACAGCAATTTAACCTGAATACTGAGGCAAAATCAACATTCAAACCAGGAACCCACCACCATCAGCAGCATGAAGCAAGGCAGCCTATTCTCCTAGGCAGGGCTATTTTTGGGCAGGAACGCACAGGAACGGAGTTCCGGCTGGCTCCTGAGTTGGCCACGCCCAGCAGAAACGCATTAGCATAATAGGCCACACCCAACAGCAGACACTCATTAGGATTGGCTACAGTAGGCATGTGTGGCCTAACATGCAAAGGAGTCCCTGCTACAAAAAACGGCCCTGGGTTTTGGCAACAAACAAGGTAAACAGAATAAGAAGCAAAAGGTGGGTGTGGCTGGATGACCACACTTCCGGCAACACGGGGCTGCGGCCTAATATGCTAATGAGCTTTGGTGTCAGGGTGTGGCCTATTATGCTAATGAGTTCCTGCTGGGCTTTTTGTTCAAAAGCCCTGCTCCTAGGGTTGCCAACCTCCAGGTGGTGGCTGGAGATCTCCTAGGATTACAACTGATCTCCAGGTGACAGATCGGTTCACCTGGAGAAAATGGCTGCTTTGAACAGTAGACTGTATGGCATTCTACCCCACTGAAATCCCTCCCCTCCCCAAACCCGACCATCCTCAGAGGCTCCACCACCAAAATCTCCAGGGTATTTGTCATCCCAGAGCCAGCAACCCTATATTCTCCCCACAAAAAAAACCCTCCAAAAAAACCCCACCATTTCCTCCAGGAAAACTGACCTGTCACCTGGAGACAGGATGTAATTCAGGAGATCACCTGGCCCCACCTGGAGGTTAGCAACTCTACCACACACACTTCCCCCCTCCTCTTACCACGGTTTCCCAGCACTAACATTCTACGAGGCACAAGGAAGAACAGGGCTCCCTACAACTCGGACAAGAACACCCTGCCCCTTCCACGGCACATCCCAGGAAGCCACCCCATTAAAGGGGCAGCAGCAGGATGTTTCCCACGCCAGGCTGCTGGCGCAGACGGAACCACCCCAGCGCCTTGCCTTGCCGGCCTCTCCCTTACATGAACCCGGTGCCGCTGGTCACCAGGATCCACTTCCTGAAGCCCGGCAGCAGCGCCTCAGCTCCTAAGGGACCGCTAGACATCGTCCGCGAGACGGCAGTGCCTTCCCCTCCCGCGTATCACTTCCAAGGCAGCTGCCACTGCCTACTTCTGCCCTCAGCCCAGCCTGCCTGCCTGCCAGTCACTCCCACCCACCTCTGAAGCAACTCTGTGCTGGGGCGACGGCTCGCGTGCCCACAGAGGGCTCTGAGTACTGCCTCTGGCACCCGTGCCAGAGGTTCGCCACCACTGTCTTACACCATTCAGCTACTCAGCATGAAGTGGTAAGAGAATCTGGATCTGCTGCTTTACAAAATGCACACTAGCCATTTCAGTTTTTTCCTTTATGTGTGTGAATTGATCAACCACTGCATTTTGACTAAGAGGCTGCAAGGGCAGCAGATAAGGGGATGAGAATAAACAGGACATGAAGACTCCCAGTGTGTACTAGATACAAATTCTAGCAACACAAATCTTAAAATGGGGAGAAATCATGGTTTGTGAGGCCAAGCAAGCAGGGTCTGTATGTCACATTTCAAATTACTTGCTGTTTAGTCAACATGGATGCGGGACTGCTCCACAGAGACACTGATGCACTGTTATAACTGCACTTTTAAGATAAGTATGAGAAACCTACTACAGAGAATGGTCCTATTTGTTTCAGTGGGAATTAAATTATCGTATGGCATTGTGTGGTATAGCCAGGAGATCCTAGGATTGTCTGGCAGCCTGAAGCTCTAGCATTATGCAGCGAGCTAGGCTTATTTGGGGGGGGGGGGCTGGGAGAGCTGTGACTGACCCAAGGTCCAACGCGACAGACAGTTACGCCTGCTAAATCAACAGCTCTGTCTTTCAGATTTCTTCCATCCACAAATGAAAACGATTTTGCAAGCATGCAAAATAAAAGGAAATGTGCCAGCGACTGCATCTGTGTGAATGTGCAAGTAGGCAAAATGGAGGAAGATATAGGCTACGTTCCTAAATCCATTAGTGGACAGGACTGGCTTGCATTCCCTGAGCAATTCTGGCATTTACAGAGAAACCATGAGATAGTATAGATCTGTCCTTCTAGGTGGCTCTGTGCTTATATTTGCTTTCAGCTTCTTTTTAAATCCATATTATGCTTCGATACATTAGATTTTAAGCATCATTCCACCAGCCAATCCAGATTGTTGGGGAGAAATTTATATGAAACAGTTCCATTCATCTCCCCATGTGCTTCTAGCGTATTTACCCTTTTGGCATTAAGAGTCTGGAACAGGGAGAATCAGTTCACATGACCAGTTAGCAAAGGAAGAAACAGCAATCGTGCCACTCCACAATCAAGTAGGCAACATCACAGGCAACTGATTGTCTGCCATTTCACACAGTTGTTCCAATACATCAGTCCCTTGACACTATTTTTTAAAATCAAGCTTAAGGAATAAGCCATTTAAAGAAATAAAATTGCCTGGTAATCCTATCTGGGAAAGTATCTGGCAGCATAAAAGTAATGTCCCAAGACATTTCTATAAACCAGTGATGAAAAATATTTGAAATTCCTTGGAAGTACATCATTTGGTTTGGCTTCTTTGGAGGGTGGAGTGGGGCTATTTTGGCATCCAGCAAACATTGCACAGGTAAACCCCATGCCTGCTTTAAGACTGCCTGAGTTCCGTGCATCTTTCTTCCCCCCTTCAATGTGCACAGACTTCTAGCCCTCAGTCACTAACCTTACAGAGGAACTATGGTACATGTTCATGTACATTCCTTCACCGACAGCATCTAAGTCCCATACAAACAAGCTACCTGGCTGGATTTTAGCCTTGCATATGAGATTTAGAAATGAGTAATATTTTATGTCGTTAGTATGAGTAGGAGCTATAAGCTATAATTTCTGGAACAACTCTTCCATCAATGGACTCCCCTCAGACCCTAGAACTGTAACAAAATTTGTTGTTTAAAGAGAACAGGGAGCATTTTGGACATTTTATTTGGGAGTAGGGCGATAATAATCTTACGAAATATGGCGACACGCCTCTGTCTTCTTCCAAGAACCTCCTCCAAACTCAGCTTCCCCACCAGCCAGTGGATTGTCTCTCCTTTCCTTCTGAATTTTTACATTCTCCCTCAACCACTTTCCTCACTGTCAGCTTTCGACTGTAGGCTCCTCAGGGTCAGGACCTACCCTTTTCCCTTCAAACTATTCAGGGAAGGTGCCATAAACAAAGACAACATTGTATAACTAAATTTAAAAATAAAACACACAAAAGCAATTACTACTAATAAAGGCCTACTACAGCCCTTCCCCAAGGATTATGCATTTCACTGGGTGGCAGCTTTTGAGACTGGAAGTCTCAATAATGAGAAAGTATTTTTGCCCTCTCAGACTTGGGAACACATCACCAAGAGACATGACAATGGCCACTAGGCTTCAAAAGGTACCAGGAAACACTTGTGGCCAGAGAGTGTGGGTACCAAACCACACCACTCAAATGTAACCTCTGTGTTGAGAGATAGTAACCCTCTGAACATCAGATGCTAGGGCGATATGGAACAGGCTTCAGCTTATGATCCCTGTGTGTAGGCCTTCCATAGGGTGGGAGAGGAGATGATGGACCAGAGAGACTCTTGGCCCAATTCAGTTGTGCTGTTCTGATATTCTTAGGACTGGATACAAATTAAGTCAGCTATTTCCACCAGTTCCTCCTTTTCGCCGTAGACTACCTTCATGTCTTTCCTTACGGTCCCCTACCCTCCAGGAGCGGCAGCATTTCATAAGCTTCAAAGGAAGAAAAGTTTCATAACCACTGATGGAAAAGAGCCAGAGTCCAGGAGCACCTTCAAGACTCACACAATTGGTGGCAGGGGATGAGCTTCCATGAGTCACTGCTGACTTCTTCAGATACAGCTAGAATGTGAGTCCATCTGTCCTTATATCACAAGGCTAATGGATTCCCATTCTGTACGAATGCGATGCCTTCCACGGAGACAGATCAAGATGGGTGGCCATGTTGGCCTGTCCGTAGCAGCAGGAAAGAGCTTAAAGACTAAAAAGAAACATGGCAGGGTAGGAGCTTTTGTGACTCACTGCTCACTTCTTCAGATAGAAAAGAGCAAGAGTCCAGGAGCACCTTCAAGGCCAACAAAATTTGTGGCAAGGGAGGAGCTTTCGTGAGTCAGGGCTCCCTTCTTCGGTGACTCACGAAAGCTCATAACCTGCCACCACTTTTGTTAGTCTTTAAGGTGCTCCTGGGCACTTGCTCATCTCTAGGGCCACAGACATCTTGATCAACCACTGATGGGAAATTTATTTATTTATTTATTTGACTTTTACCCCGCCCTCCCGCTGAGGCGGCTCGGGGCGGCTTACAGTAATTTAAAAACCAGTGTAACAATTAATACGATATCAAGTCTAAAACAATACAATCAATAAAATATCCAGATACAGCTTATTAAAGTTAATAACAATTTAGCCTGGATCCAACCCATACCTGCCTCTTATTAGGAGGATGAAGACCGTTGAGGGCACCTTAGAGCGGGTCAGCACAGAGGTCTCCCAAGCGCACTATTATTGGCTCTGAACAGCAGCAGCAGCTGTCCATGTATTCACCCTTCTGGTATTTACCTCCCTTTCTTTCTTTCTCTTTCTTTCTTTTTACCCTTTCGGTATTTACCTCCGTTTCTTTCTTTCAAAATATATTTTATTGCCGTTTCACCATCATAGACAGGGTACATCCATACTGTTCATTATGATCGTGACTCAACAAAAAAGCCCGAGA